CCCCATAAGTCTGTGTGAGATCACTGTTGGGAGGTTTAAACCACAATCCGATGACAGTACCACCCACTCCCACGACCCCCCCCCCAGGCTTTTTAAGCATCGGCATGACATCATTCCTCCGGATTTGAAAGGGGGCCCGATGGGGGAGGGGAATCGGGTGAGAGGAGGGGTGGCCTGGTCTACTCTGGAGCCAGACAGACGTGTTTAGGTTTGAAATGAGCCGAGCTGGATCGGTTACAGAGGCTGGTCCAGACCGAGGGGACCACAGGCTCCGTCACGCCTATAACAGAGAAACTCCGTCCTTTTATTTCCCCTTTGTTTCACTCCGAGGTCTGGTATTTTTCTGCCTCATAGTCTCCCCCATAAACAGCCCGGCTCAGGGTCGTCCTGCATGCTCCACAAACCTGCACACAGGAGGCTTTCAGCCGGTCGGCCGATGGGCTCGGAGCTCCAACAGAGTGGCAGCAGGACAAAACCCCCCCTCAAACGGAACAATCGGCCTCTGGTCTATTGGTTAGAAAATAAACCTGTGCACTGATTAAAGAGGGAGGCGTGGCCGGCAGAGCGCAAACGCACGGCCGAGTGCCTCGCGTGTTTGCTTTCCCTCAATGATTAACGCCGGCTGTTGGGATGCTTCCCTCATGTTTGCGTCCAAGGCTGAGCCAGAACCACGTTTTCTGACAGCAGAAACTTTGGGAATTAGCTGCACTGTCGGTAGATTTCTGCGTTTGTTCATCAGTTCATCATTCATCAGTTTATCTAAGAGCAACATGTGGTTACAGCCACAAACCTGCTTTCACATTCCACTAAATTCATGCAGCTGGCCTTTGAGTTTCCCCTCTCAGCCATGTTTCCCTGGTTTGCTCCCAGTGGAAGGATGGAGGGATGCAGGGTGAGGGTTCAGAGGGAAGGTCAGTAGGCCGAGAGGCCGGAGAACACCCAAATAATGGAGTTAAGACGGATGAAAAGATGGGGGGAAAGAGGGGAGTGAGCACGAGAACAAGCAGGTACATTTAGCGCAGGCTAAAGCGGAGCCGTCCCCCCACAGGGAAAAGCTCCAAACCGGTCAAAGGCCTGGAAATAATCTGCGTCGTATCACATGACTCATCCTTTTCTTTTCCTTTAAAGAGCGTGACCCTCTGGGCCGGCGTGAGCCTTCTGCATACTCCTCCCTGCAGAGGAGGAGTGGGCAGGATGTTGCATCATGGCTGGAAAATGTGCTGTTTGGTGACACCGGGCAGACAGCCCCCCCCCCCC